CCTGTCAAGTCGTGAGCGGCCGATCCACGGCATCCATGCTGCTGATCCGTTCAGCGGTGGCAGTGGCAGTGGAGATAGGGTATTTTGAAAGACAGAAGAGGAATAGAAAGTCTCACCCTTTATCTGCATCTAATCGGTAAGACATTTTAAAAATTGCAGCAACCACGAGACTAAGAAAACACCTTTCTAAAATCCCAGACACTAGACCACCATGGGCTTATTACTGAGACTTGCTATATGAACGCCTAGACCATTTGAAGCCTGATTTTTTTTCCTCTGACAAACTTCACAGTCGCTCATCCCTTCAGAAATGAATGGTTGTGAAGATGAAGATATCTGATGACAGCCTGATTGGTTAGCAAAGACTGCAACTATTATTAAGGCCTTTATCGACTACCCACCTCTCTATCGGTGCTATTCCTCTCAGGTGATTCTGTTGATCGTCGCGAAGAATGACACATTCGACAGATTATTCGCTTCTGCTGAGCTCAGTTGTCGGTTCCGTGTCTACGCTCCAGAGGAAGAAGAGCTCTTTGGTACATACGCCATGGAACCCCTCTACGATACCAAAAACAATCCCGATCTGCATAAATTACTGACCGCCGCCATTCGTAAAAATCCCTCAGGCAACACGTCAGTGGGTGAGTTCCATGACTTTTCCAATCACTGTCGTCCATTCCATGTTGTCTACCCCATATGCCGCTTTTTAATTAATCACTACCTTGGAATAAACTATTTTATTCTACGGTCTGTAGGTACAGACTTAAAATTAATATGAATATGTGGATCGAATTCCATCAGCCCCAGCGCGATAGTCGTGCAATATTCATTGTATATGAAGGCAACAGGATACACCATACTGCCAACCCAGCTTAATGAATATTTCATGATTACCCCGTTGTGGCTGATGGACTTTGGTCCAAATACTGGCACCAGTAGCTTATGTAGGCCCACTCATTAATCCCTACTCCCTGCATGTTTTCCTACGTAAGCGGTGGTTTTAGGGTTTTATGGGTGGGGAATTAAGACACGCAGTGGAATATGTTTTAATTAAAACTAAATGCATTTTTATTTTACTGTATTTAGAAGTGTTGTTGATTTATATATG